CTCTGTAATCACCGCAGGGTCTCCAGTCTTCAGATGTCTTGGATACCACGTGTAAAGGGGCCACCCGTGGGCTATTAGAGGGGCGGATAACGCCAAGAGGGCACATGTGTTCAAACTTTGCTCTGGCTGCTCCGAGCTTATCTCAGGCAAATCGTCTAGCCTTGCTTAAGTTACATTTTAAGCACCTCCTCTAACGTGACTCACCGCCATCCCAAAAATAGGACAAGGTGAGGAACACGTAAACAGAACCTAACTGTCTCGACCAAAGGCCGGTTAACGCGCTCATATGAGCCCACTTAAACGTGTCTTGGGCGAAATTTAAGGTAACAGACGTGGATGGAACACATAAGTTGGATTGAGCCAACAGCATTGGGACGGTTGATAGGGCAATGGGAGGTAATGTGTAGGGACACAGCAGATTTGGTAGGTGTTACGCTGTCGATTGTGGGAAAATGGTGTTTATGGAGGTGGTGATTCTCCAGCACTTGGTAACTTTGCATTTGAGCTCACAAACTCGGACGCGATTTGTTTAAAGTTCAACTTAGTATTTGGTAGCCTAAATAGAACAGAGCAATCACCGAGATGTCTGGCCTAGATTTTGAGCTGCGACCATTGCAGGAGAATATTCCGTCGTTACCTCAATGATCTCATTTATGAGGTTTGTGATCTCACGCATTTTGTCGATATCGTTCCTAGAAATCACAATGGTGAATCATATTGCCTGTACTTTTTATTTTTCTTCTTGTCAGTTTTTTCTTGAATACAGCATTTCTATGATTGTTTTTTATTCATTTTGTTTGTGATATTTCATGTTATTAAAAATTCTCTTTGTTTCACCTTGTCTACTTATTTAACAAGGTTCAGCTCTTCAGTTTTGGTAACATTTTGGTAACACTATAATTTCATTCTTTTTTGATCTTTAATCAGGTAACATGTTTGCTTTATGAAATCTTAAGATTCAACGACTTTATGAGAATTAAACTAAATTGCTTATCGTAGCAAGCCATTAGTCAGCAGTGTTTTATGGGAATCGGCATAATACTAGACTAATTATCAGAGTGCCTCTGTCAAGGGATTTATCTGTCGGGCTGCCAAGCATTTACTATTGAACCTCCGCTTTTATTAATTCATGCAGACGCAATAACAAAGACGTCATGAATTCAGGAAAATGAGTAGCAGCCGAAATGCTTCATCTCTTAATGCAAGGGAAAGCATTTAGCACACGCAAAACGCTGCTGTTCCACAGAACTTTCGTGGGCGTTCTCCACCAACTTTGGACAAACACTATGACAGCGTGAATACCCGTGAGAATTACAGCAGTCATTGTCGGACGCTAGCTTACAACCCTGATGCAAATGCCTCGAAACGTGAATTCGCTGCGGGACAGATACAGCCCTGTGTTTTGACGATAAGCAGAGTGATAAACAGACAGTGAAAATCCCCAAAAGAAACGAAACAATAGAGCTTGTTTCAACAAGTTGTACATTATAAGCAGTGCCACGTGGTTAACTGCCATTGAGCATGAGGTACATTAATTTCAAGGTAGTAAAAGGCCACCACAAACTAATCATGCAAGAAGAATCGCACAATGTATTGGAGCATTAATAGATACACTTCAAAACCTGCGGACCGCTGAGGGCGCACGGTTAATTGCGACCCATGTCGTTTTGACTTTTCTGAATGCGCTCGCAGATGCACTCCGCCAATTCTCGAGGGATGTATTCAGCGAAGAGCTCCAAAAACCTTCGCATCTGCATTTCGCCACATTCCACGTGGTGTTCAGGCACGCGCGCTTGCTTTTCTTCTACAACACCACAGTGATCAAGTTCATCTTCAAATTTCTTCTGCCCCTTTTCTTTCTCCACCTCAGGCCGATCCAATGAACTATTGTTGTCGACTGTTTGGTCCTTGCACCCCTTTCCCTCACATTCAGAAGGTCGCGGTTCGTAGTGCGCAATGTCTGCAGGCGTCTCGTCATCCTTCACACACGCATTCGTGTCCGTGTGCGTGCCGTGTTGGATGCGTTTGCAGATGCATTCCAACAATTCAGGAGGGATGTATTCAGCGAAGTGCTCCAGAAACTTCCGCATCTTGATTTCGCCACAATCCATGTAGTGTTCAGGTTCGTGTTTGAGTTGTTCCTCGTCCTTTTCGTTCACTTCAAGCAAATCCAATGCACTGTAGCTGTCAATCGTTTGGTTCTGGCACTCATTCCTTTCCTCACAGCCACTAGGTCGCGGTTCGTAGTGCGCGATGTCTGCAGGCGTCTCGTCGTCCTTCACACACGCATTCGTGTCTGTGTGCGCGCCCTGTTGGATGCGCTTGCAGATGCATTCCATCAATTCCGGAGGGATGCAATTGGCGAAGTGCTCCAGAAACTTACACATCTTCAATTCATAACATTTTAGGTAGGGTTTGGGCTCGATTTCGCTTTGCTCCACCTCCACCTCTGGCACATCCAATGCACTGTAGCTGTCAATCGTTTGGTTCTGGCCCTCATTCCCTTCCTCACAGCCACTAGGTCGTGGATCGGAGTGCGCGATGTCTGCAGGCGTCTCGTCGTTCTTCACACTCGCATTCGTGTCTGTGTGCGCGCCCTGTTGGATGCGCTTGCAGATGCATTCCACCAATTCGGAAGGGATGTATTCAGCGAAGTGCTCCAGAAACTTTTTCATTTGCATTTCGCCACATTCCACGTGGACCTCGGGCTCGAGTTCGATTAGTTTCCGTTCCACATCCCCTTCCACCTCTGGCACATCCAATGCACTGTAGCTGTCAATCGTTTGGTTTTCGCATTCATTCTTTTTCTCACACCCAATAGATATCGGTTCGTAGTGCGCGATGTCTACAGGCGCCTCGTCGTTCTTCACACGCGCATTCTCATCCGTTTGTTCGTCGTGGCTGATGCACTCACAGATGCTCTCCGACCCAGCGTCACTTTGTCCTTCTTCGTTCCCTTCACTATCACAAGTCTGCTCGTCTCCTTCCGCCCCAGACGAAACTAACACGCTGTAATTGATACTTGTTTGTTCGGTACATTCGCACTCTTCCTGACGCGTTCTTGTGCATGGTTCTTCACATACTTTTTCTTTTAGTACTGTGATGTTTTCTTCCCGATATCCTCTTGATTCCTCGTCTGTTTCCCTTTCTCTCTTTTTTGTCCCACCCTTCTCAGGTGATTTTTTCGCGTTTGCACTCTCAATATTTTTGCTGTCTTTTTTCTTCTTGTCTTTGTTGGTCCTGCTTTTTGTTTTTTGGCCTTCCTTTTGGCGCCTTATCTTTCCATCGTGCCGCTCGCTTTTCTTCTTTCGATGCGAACGTCGTCGTATTTTGTTGCAAAATCTGCTGAGTGGTTTTTGGTCAGTGGAATTCTCTTCGTGGTCCTTCCTTTGTTCGGATTCCTCTCTGATTTCGAGTCCTCCAGCGGCTGACGCTCCGCCTGCTTCCTCCAGCTTGATCGCTTCTTTCAATCGGCAGTTGGCCTTTTTGTTGGAGCTCTTGATTTCGCCCATTTTGAAGTATTTGCGCATAACCAGCAGCCAGTGCTTTGGGCTTCGCGAATGCATTTTGTGCGCCAGCTAACGTCGACGTCTCACCACAAAGTGGCCTCTACAATTTGTGGTTTGCCGTTATCTAGAAGCCCATCAGCTAAGCACCCTTGAATCGGATGTACTAATTGTGGCATTTTATGTGGGCAATTTAGACACGTGGTCTCTCTTTGATTCCTAGCACACCATCTTGCAGATTGAATCCACAATAAGCGCTGGAGTTTAATAACTTATAACTACGATCATACGTGTCGACGCGAAGGAATGAGCTTATTATCAAACTAAGCCTACTACCCTCTTTGAAAATAATACGCATAATTAACGCAAATTTATACCGAATTAACTGATAAATTTAACGTTACTAATTTCAAAACCAAGACAGACCATGGATTGAAAAATATTTTCACAGGTACCAAACGCTTTCCAAAGGTTGTATTGAGGAACAATGTAGAGGAAAGGTTTGGAAAATGCGATCGAACTGGTGGGATGTCGCTTGCCTTAAAAATTCATGTGGCGACGATAGTATTGCACGATATTTAAAATGTTAAAGACAGGTTAAAGTTGTATCAAGGTAGACTTAACTTGTCAAATAAATTTAAGTTATTGACCGATGAGTTTTATCGGATGTTACATGTTTCCCGATATACTGATGCAAAACCCCGAGCTAATAGTTGGAATCCCTGTTTGGCACGCCGAAGGCTTCCAAGAATAAGAGAAGACTATGGCTTGCGTGGACCAAAGGTTTGAGTACAATGTGGGAACAACATCTGAAGTCGAGACTAATGTTCCGCGGATGCCCAGACCTGCCCACTAATATTAAACTCACCTTCCCCTATCGATAAGCTGAGTTAAAACACTGAGCCAGGAGTTTTTGTGGTGAAAAAACGACCGAAGTGACTGAAGATTTGTACTTCAGTGAACAGAACTTGAGTGAATAGGCGTCACAACTCACTGCATTAATTTAGTTGTCCTAGGGAATTTTGACATCTCCAACATGACAGTCTTCCTTATCCGTATTCAAAGGTTTTTTTTTCAAATTTACATAACTTTGAGAAATGTTTGAGATTATTCAAACCATTGAGGGGATCTCACTAGAACCTCTGCTTGATAATTTAACTTCGTGAAAATTAGGAGTTGCAGGATCTCTGCTATCTAATAGAGATTTATGTTTTATTCACATTAAGATGAATTTACTGAATTTCCATCTGTAACACGCCACTTACGCTAGTCTGTGATAATCTAACGTCAATTTAAACCTAATAATACGATAAAAATATTCATATGTCATAGATCGATTCAGGTGCGGATCTTAGGCGCTACTAAATCACAGTCAGAATCTGTATTTATTTAGTTAGTGGACCCCTATAGTCTTTGTTTAGTTGGGAAAAAGCATTGAATACCATTTAGCCGATAACACCACTCCGACTAGGTTTGTTTTTATATTAACGTCTTGGTTTTTAGATAGAGTTTCAGAGTTGGAGAGGTTGTAGTGGGAGGCACACAATGAATAATAAAGCTGAAAGTATGTTGTTTAATACACAACATAACTTGTACGAAGGCATTAATCAAGTACACATAAATAACTTTTTGACCGCTCTGATACAATGCTCCAAGTTGAGAAACTGACGCAAATGCAGTAATCCTTCTCACGGCAATGAACGATGATTATAGGATCCCTGTTACAAGTCAAACTGTACGATTAACAATGTATGTAAAGTTTACTACACCCCACACACACCCTCTTATCAGCCTCATTAAGATTTGTAACACGTACAAACACTTTCTATTTTTCTAATCTCTGTACTATAAGCTTTTAACTTTACCTAAGGTGAAGATGCTGGCTCGTTGGTTCTTAAAAGTGCACGTTTTTGCTGCCTGCACTTACTCTGGGCTCATAACTTTACTCTAATTATATATTCTTTTAAAACATTTCAGTCGCATTATCCTAATATCAGGTTTTTTTAATTCTCAGGTAGGAATATTCCTGTTTTAAAATGAAAACAGGTCTGTTTTCAGGCCCTGGAGATACCGAAACTCCGCAGAACCTACTAAAAGAGAAATTCTGCAGAGAGCTAAAGGCAAAGCAACATAGATTAATTGTACTATCGATGCAACTGTTGTCTCAAGCAGTTTAGACCATTAAAATAAGTTCCTCTAAATTTGTAGTAATTCTAAGTTGAGCTTGAGAGATTGCAGAAAGCGAAGAGGGGAAGAAGGGTGTGTAAGAGATTCTAAGTGAAGAGTGATCAAAGCAATGCCGCAAAAGACGATTGCCTATATTAACAACTTTCCGCCGATGCTTTCCTATCGTGACGGACGCGTTTTAGAATTGGTCTTTTTCTCTCATGACTGAAAAATCGCCTCCCTAGTGGGGGTGAACGATTTAATCGGTGGAACCCTGCTTATGCCAGTGAGAGTCTTCCATGAATTGCTGGTAGCTGGGAGGAAATCTATTGAGTGGAGAAGAAGATTTTTAAGACAGCACAAAAATGAAGTTAGATGGAGAGAAGTGCGGCTCAAGAGATAGCCAGCATCAACTCAAGGCTTGGTGGGTACCTGAAACAAACAGTATATACCCGGGTTTTCAATGGGAAGACTAAATCGAAGCTTAAAACAAGTCAGCATCAAAACCACAGTTCTGCGGATTCACGACCTTCTCTGCGCTTGACGCATGACAAAAATCACTGCTTACTTATTTCATGCTTCCCAGATGACTCACCTGATCTTGCACCTTAATTTGCGGCCTCTGATTCGCTTTTTGATTCAAAATATTTGTTCTAAACATGTGTTTATGCAAATACTCTCCTTCGATGTTAACAAACCTTTGAAAATGACCTATCAGTATTCATAAACTTACACGATTCAGTTATATCCCATGAATGAGTGGGGTTCCAATTTCCCTTATCATCTAATTCAGCTCTGAGTAGTTCATTCAGATGATTAGGCCAGATGTCCAGTGCCTCGTATAATTTTTGGTTTTCAGAGAGAGTAGAAATTTGAAAAGTTTCACGATATTAGTGCTCAAGGAGACTTGGAGTTAGCGGCAAAGTGAATTCACAACCTCAAATTACACAGTTATGCGAAGGTAGTTTTTTTCTCTTGGTTTCGACGGAATTTTCGAAGATCGCAAGATTGGTATATTTTTATGGAAAGGTGGACTTCTCAACCGCTTCCTTAAATCCACCACAAGTATCAGGTAATCGGACACAAGTACTCTGTTAAAAGGAACTGAGGATCGTATTTGAAATTGCACAGTTTATTACAGAACAGAAAATTATGGAATGAGTTATCCCCTGTATTTGCTCCTAGTGATGGTCCTTGATTCAAACAAATTTGGAAATGAATCAACACAGTCATGTTGATAACCCACTAAATTTGCTAAGGGATAATTGAATTGCCATCTCAAGCGACGCACCTTTGAGCCCACAGCGTTGGGCATTGTAAAAAGATTTAATGCTCAGTCCAGGTGTTCAGTAAATATCGTTGGGACAGATTAAATTGCTTCTAATGACCACTACAACACAATCGCTTATAAGTCATACCAGAATGCTTCCTGTCTAACTTTCTGCCTAATAAAATGCATATTCCACAAAATTAGACTAGTTTGGAGCAGACGACTAAGTTGGAATTTTATCGTGAAAGGTGGTGTAACAAATATACATGTTTTGTACTATTGATGCAATAGCTAAAACGAATCCCAACAATATTGCGATTTTGCATTTTTGAAACAGCGTTATATTATCTGATGGGAAATAGTGCTGATGTGATCTAGAAATAGTCATCGATCGTTTCATGAGGGGCGTCCTCAACCGCGGGCTTTTATTGGTTAGTCAAAAGGAGCAAGTTTGAAGTGAATGTAAGCAGCACCTGGTTTTCTGTAAATTGCTTTTTTCTGTGTAAACATTCTGTTAAAACAGAGATGATATACCTATTGGGGATGTTAACTAAATTAACACGGTGATTTGTGGCGTCTATTTACTCGGCTCTGTTCACACAATTACAAGTCTACTGTCACACTACATCTTAAATCACACCATCAAGTCATCGATCGGCGATCCCCCGGACATATATACAAGTGGGCACATCTGGGCATCCACTCTAGCTCCGTTTTGGCCCCATCTTGTACTCGAATCTGTGATTCAGACAGTAAAGCCCTTCGCATAAGCACTTGTCTTATTCTAATATACCTTCCAACTCCGACCTTGGAGATTCGCAATAACATACCGGGTGAAAGCGTAATAATACCAAAGTGGGCTAGGAGACATAAATTGCTTGCGCTTTGGTTGGTCTAAAGCATCACTGGTCACCTGCACGTCAAGTTAGCTCCTTAAAACGGTATCATAATAAAAAATGCAGCAAACGATTATTCGAGTCTAGGGTAAATGGTGGGCATCAAAATCACGATACAAAGCTACAGTTTGCTAAAGGTCAGGTTGCCAGGTATTATTATCCGGCACAGCTTGCCATGTAAATTAAATTCAATAGCTTTTACGTCACTTGTCTAGGATCAACGCATTAGCCAAATCCAGCCTTCTGTATGTACCTAGTTAACGGTTGACCTAAAATCCGTTTATCTCTGGGTGTTTGCTCGAGGGTATACATCTGTTACCAAATACTTAGGTTTGCAATGCCTCTTTTAGGCTAATTATGACTTGTCAACACATGAGTGAATGTGTCAGTGAATAAACTGAGTCGGAGTCGGACCATGCGTCGACAAACCAAATAGACGTGAAATTCCTCTATCCACTATGACTTTATTTGAAATATCTCCCATAAGTCTTTTTATAGAAGAATTGCCTTTCCTTAACTTAAGATGGGACGGTGATAGATATGGCAGTGAATAAAGGTCAATCTCTGATGTAGGTTTGATTGAACAATAGTCCCTAACATTTAGCAGCTCTGTGATTATTTTCACCCTGACATTCTGACATTAATTACCTTTCCAAAGGTAGTAAATACCTGGCTGTAACTAAGGCTTCAGTTCATGCACTTACTTGTGCCTTTGTCTGTGTGTATTAGTAAAGACTTACTACGCTTTTCTGGTTCTCGTGTTAGCAAACACACAAATCAAAGTTATAAATCGTAAAACCGAAGCACCCTTACAGACCGAAACAGGAATTAATTTTATGGTGGGAATCGAAGCTGATCTGCACAGGTGTCGGCTTTATTCCACGCCAAATTATTTGTGCTTTTGAATAAAAAAAACTAAGGTTCAGGCGCTCCAGGCCTATGAAAATTTATACAACAAAACCTTTGAAATAGACATAAGAAATTTGGGGCTTACTATGCAAGTAGATTTCAGAGCGATTAAGTTTTGATAAAATTAAGTTGTTTTCTGAAGTAAACCCATTCACATAAAAAGAGACAACGCTAATGCATCAGTCTAAAATGCACTAATGTTATCTTGCGAATGCAACTTGTGCGTTTCCTCACGTCTTATTACATTATATATTCGGTTTTTTCGTTCAGGTCAAAACTAAAATTTGTACGTTGTCAGCCAATGGCTGTTTTTCACTAGCCCATGTGTTTATTACCGATGATCCTTACGATTTGTCGTCGCGTGCCCTGAATATATGGATCCCTCTATTTCTGCAAAAAATATTGACGTAGATTTAACTACAGATATTAGTGCAAGAATGCAAATTCCAAACAGACTGTCACTCATCATGCCTGACTTTCCATCGGTAGACAGTGTACGCGGAACGGAGTCCCGAGTAGTAATAACAGGCTCAAATAAGTCTAACCACCTGCATAATCCATACGGTAAGTGCCATATTTGTGGCATTTGTTCGTGTGTGTTTTTAATTAAAGAGTATTAATTTTTAACTATCACTTTTCGAACATAGAGTCAAAGAAATCACTAGTCCAACTGAAAATGTTTGCATTTCTTATTTATGTATTGTGGCTAAAAAGTGTGCTGCCCCCACTGTCTATAAAATAACCAAGTGGTTTTCGCACAAGGGTTTCTCAATTGAAAATTTGTCTAATATCTAGGAACATGAATTTCAAACCATTGGTCAATATCAATGTTTTTTTCCACTTGAGTACTGGTTCCGATGTTTAGTCTACTCATCAGTGCCCCTGTATCCGCTTTTGTAAAGTTTTCTCCATTTGAATGAAGTAAGTCGAACTGCGGTTCCGCTTTCTTCAGCTGCGCTGATATCCCAAATGAAATTCCTACACCATCACAGAGCATGTGGGATGCGTTGCTACGCCGTTATTTTCAAAACACGTGTCTGCATGTGCAAACCATAGATATTATCAGTTATGCGTTCTTGTTTTTTTTACAGATTTCCCTGTGTCAAGGCCAAGTCTAGAACCGCCTCCAGAATCTTTAGTACTTGGCCAAGTTAATTACCCGGATATTGATCGAATAAGCAAACCCCGATATCCTCCCGTAAACCCTAGCAAAGAAACTAGCAATCTTAGTCTTTTTCAGTAAGTCGGAACATCCTTCGTGTTTATGACACTCATTTTCCTTTACCTTTACTAGCAAATGATGTACTTTTATTTGACACATGAATAGGTAATTTATTGAATACTTGACCCTTGTCAGTATTTTCTGCTTAAGTCAACCCACTGTAACCTTCAGTTTAAGGTTTGTGTCTGGTTTAGTAAATCTGTAATTGATTATCAGACATTAATTACAAGCTACGTGAGGCTAAAATTCATTTGAGCATAAAACCTCTGTTGTATTTTCCAAAAAAAATCGAAAATTTACTAGTGATAAAAAAATATCGAGCAACTAAATTTGAGACAATGAATGTGTAGAGGCCTTGTGCTAATTTCGAAAAAAACCGAGGAAAGGCATCATCCAAACTGTTCTCCTTTTAATTTGTTAAACGCTTATTCATAGTCAATTGTGTGCGAAGTTTACATTCGCTATTAGTCATGCTTTATGGTCTCATACGTACACGTCCAATCCTCCAACAACTTCAATCATTTTTTTATACCATGGCCTGCTTTCGAATTTTAGATTCTCCTTGATATCCATATTTAAAGCACATGTTACGTTGGCACTGCTGCTCTTTTTGATAAATCAGCACATGTTAATGTCTTGCTTTATGTATTCAAACGTAATCTTTCATTTTTTAAGGCCATTTTAGGATCATAAATGCACATATTTATGCAAATCCCATTTCGATCGGACTTTTCTTCCATATTTCTAGCCGTTATTTGACTTCATTTAGCGAGGTTTGCTAATTCGTCCAATTGAAGGCAATGCCTACGTCGCATTTCGCACCGCTTCCAAATTTTATTCGACCCCACTTAGGCATGGCCAACTTTCCACGAAGTCAAAATCTTCCAAGACCACTGATAAAGGTTATTAGATCAGTGAACCCTCTCGGTTAGACCGCTGGTTATAGCAACTCGTTTTATTCAGCCTCTAGTCGCCTAGTTATGCCTTCAATCCTCATTTAAAGCAAACTTCGTTGTTGGTGGTCTGATTTTGGCAAGAAGTCTTGTTTTGCTAATCATTTTGAGTTTAATGTATTTTATTCTTTCGTTTCACTCTAGAAATATACTTTTCTTTGAACAGGTCTGCTGTCTGCAAAAATTCTATTTCTGAAGGTTTTTTATTGGTAGTAACTTCTCTTGTGGCGTCTGTCTTTTTTCCAACATATGTGTGTTTTACTGCTGAAAGACATCTATGTGGTGTACCACCAGGCCTGCTATTCACTGTCCCTTGCTAAATCCCACGCTCGTGCTGCTAACAAGGGTGGTTGAATTCTCTCGAACGGAGTTTCGGTTGCAATTGGTTTAAGCGGCCTTTATCAAGTGCTACTGCCATTCATCATTTCAAATGTTCGTAATACCATGATTCAAAAAACTCTCTTTGTCAGTAGTGGGCAAATTAAATGTGTTCATTCTAAACAAAAAATACACTTTTTGTCTTCTTGGCCACGCCAGAATTCCCTACAGACATCTCTTGAGAACTTGACCAGGTTTCGCAACCGTGGAGGCGAATGAATAGGTGATAAACTTGAGAGACGTTGTTTTACAAGGGCGGAAATATACGAGTCCGCTGTTCGTTTCCTCATATTTTTTGTCCCTTTGTACCCACAGTTTGTCACGTGGCGAAGGCTCATCCACATAAGTAATTATAAAATCGCTAGTATATTTTAAGACATACGATCGATAGGTAGGTGGCTTTGAGAATTATGGTTGCTGACATTTTATAGTCGATATTTTAGCCGTTCATGAATTTGTTTCAAGCTTTGCACTAATACCCCTGTTTCATGGTTGCGTTTATCGTTAGCACAAATACTCCACTTGGTAAGTAGGTGTTTGGTTTTGACGTTTGGTTGTCAAACGGCCTAAAATCACATGCGTGACTGAACCCAAATAAAAGACATTTGGTTGGTGTTTGTGATGTACCTTAGTAAACTGGTTGGTTAGGGTTTGTTTGCCACATGCTTTTGTTTTCTAGTGGAAGTGTATACGGCGCCGTCGACGACGATCGAACCCTTATTGACCAGGGACCGCTAAATTCCTCCGCAGAGGCTCTCGCCGACCCCTCTTCCGTTGCCCTGGAGACCCAGTTGCAGGACCTCGTTGTCCGCGTCTCGATGCTAGAAGACGCCATCGCTAGACAACATCGACGAGAACTGCTCGCCCTCATCCTACTGGGCACTTATTTCCTCCTAAAATTTGGGCGCTCGCTGCTCTGAGAAAACTTGGGAGCGCCGCAGTTATCATGTACAGGTACAGAGCCAAAATATCTTTCACGTTTGCAATAGAGCCTAGCCTTTCTTAATTGGGCGCCTTTGTCTGTTTATTATGTTGTGTAAATTAGCCAACATTGTGCATAATAAAGTCCTAGTTTCGTCCACTTGTCCCTTCACCTCAAGGCTCCAGCAAAGTATGAGGTTGGTTATGAACCGTGTAAGGGCAAGTTCGCATTATCATATTGTGAGTAAAACACGCACAGTGCCATTTGTGTGGTCCCACGGTTCGAGGATCAGCTAACTTGATGGCTACAATTACCTTTGTTGTGTGCTGCGAAAACGAATTCAGTTGGCTTACTGCAGTGCTTTACATATCTGAAGCCATTAATCTCCGACGACCAGTAATGCTGGGCATGGTGTACTTTCAGGGATACAGTGCCAGAATCGCGCAACAAAGTAAAATGAGAAGTATGTTTTGGGAAATGGGTGGGTCACTGACTCGTCACCTACACGTCGTATTTGGGAAGTCCGGGCTGAGCGTGTTGTGATGGAAATGGGTGGCAATGCAAAAGTTGTCACGTTTGCGGCCAGCCTCCTCACGTTTGCTCCAGTTAGAAGCGTAAACTGTCTCGCCACGAAATCCGGGAATATTGCCGTTCCTGGCCCCTTCTAACGTTACAGACTTGTGCGCATAAAGACTGCATCACCAGGCCTATTTGCGGCCAGACGGCGATACACTCGGCTTGTGCGTTCTAAGGCTGGCTTAAGGTGAACGAAAGTAGTACACCTTAAAATCTTAATACCTTTAATCAATAAATGATATATGAGAGTAATTCTTGCGTGTACTAAAGCCTAACCTCAAATGGTGCGATAGTCTCACATCTTGGATAGAACATGCAAACGCATTGCAACACAGTGAAGCATGAGTGCGTCGTTTACGTCAGTCGCAAATTAGAGGTCCGCAGTTTACTACAAACGCTATTCCTATGCTAGTCTTCCGTGTTGTCACTCGTAATCTGCCGTCTAATGGACTGCCTAATAATTGTATTACCTACAATCGAGTTCTAATACACACCATTTACACGTATATATATCGCCCCATATTCTCGGCGACTTACGTGTAAATACACCATCCCACGCATTTGTAACAACACAACAGCGTCCCTAGCGGGTATATAAAAAGATTTGCCCACAACGCACAGTAGTAGCAACTAATACTCGCAAATGTAACGTTTAGTATAATATTTATCTATGAACAACTGTTGATAAAAAGCACATACCCTGGACATGAATGATCGTTTGCAAAACCCTTTATTATTTTTCTGGTCTGACGTGGTTACTACGTATTAACTTGCATATCGATTATGGACAAATTTCGAGTAATTACTGCCTCTAAGCTTATTTGCGTGTAAATGAGCGTTATAAATTGACGTTTGTCGTTGTTAAAATGTGTGTTTAAATCTGGATCAGGAATTATACATTGATCGCCTCTAACATTTCTGTATCTATCCATACATGAAAAATCAATTAACAGTAAACCAGGTTCTGTGTACAAATAATTAAGACTTGCTCCATTTAGTTACCTGATAAGAGCCTGAAGTTTCAGAAGCCCCTTTTGATACAATCGACTCACACCAGCAGTAACTTCCATTGGACAAATTAAGACAATTATGAAAATTCATAAGCCACCAGTAGTTTTGAATTTTACTTCGGCGATCCAATCGTTAGTTTGAAACGCTTTCATTTATTGCGGCGCATTTCACTGTCAAACCTTCAGATAAAACACCCATTATATCATTAAATATGTAACTTATTCGGTAACAAATTAAGTACCACTTCCACTTATTTAGACCGTTCAACATGGTTACAGGTAGCACTTGGTGTGACGAAATGGCCATTCTCGTCTTGTGATCACTCATAGTGATTCGATTTGTCAGTTTCTCATCGGTCCCCACTGAACAGTGAATCGGGACCTCGAAATGTTTTTACATGAATTAGAGAACGGCGCAATGTCGTAGGCTAATTGATCTACACCTATAGCTTCAACGGCATAAAGAAGAAGTACCAAAGCATTTGGAGCTTCGCCAGAAGTTGGCTTTCAAACTGTGAATTTTAAGTTTGTACCAAGCAGGAATAAACATCAATATACACTAATTTTCCTTAAAAAAATCATTTGTTACAGTTTAAATGATGCCGTTAGCTCACTAAAAAGCCGAAGATCCACGCCAAATTATAAATTACCATTTACATGTTTTCGTGTATGCATTTCAAATGTGTCCATTTAACCTGTGTTATACAAATACATGATTTTACGTTGACACACAGAGCGGTACCAGATCCTTGCAATTTATTTACAGTCTTTTCAAATATCGTGTTAATCTTGAACTATACTTTAATTTTCAAATGCAAAAAAAGACGCACTACTTAAAAAAATTTTAAAAATAGAATGTTTACCTTGCACTTGAGCATTACGAAAATAATAATTGTGTTGCATAAGTTTTAGCCTAAGGTCTGGTACACGCAATAATGTACCACTAAATGAAATTCTTCAAGGTGTTTAATTTGACAGTTTAAGAGCTACGCGTTTCGAAAATTTTGGTTGCGTGACCGATTGGTGGAGAGATGCCACTCACTTGCCGTTTCTACGAAAACGAATTCCCAGCGGAGAATGATGTTGTTGTGGCAGTCGTAACTTCAATTGCAGACGGTGGAAGCTATGTTGTTCTTCCTGAGTATGATAATGCGGCTGGTATGATACTGCATAGTGAATTATCAAGACGTCGTATTCGATCTATTAACAAACATATTCGTGTTGGTCGCAGCGATATTGTTCTTGTTATTCGCGTTGACCCGGAAAAGCGTTAGTTAATTTTTTTGAAATGATTGTATCTAGGATATATTGACTTGTCAAAGCGTCTTGTGCCAATTGAGGACGTTTGCGTTTGTCAGGAACGCTATGCAAAGGCAAAAGCGGTAAATTGGTCTTGTCTTTACAAATTTAAAGGTTAATCAAATTGTCCGTCATGCTGCGGAAAAATTAGGTTACACCGAGAAAGAGCAATTAAAGGATCTCTGTGCCAAAACTGTGTGGTTTTTCGACAAGAAATATGCAAATTCTGGTGGCTCCTACGAGGCTTTCAGACGGGCTGTTCAGTAAGTTTTCGGTAGCCATTCTGTGGGGGTTCTTTTTTGGTTTGGTTTTCCCCAATTCATTTTGTTGGTGTGACTTGTTGGACTTTTATTTGTCTAATGATTTTTTTCACCTAATTATTATCTATTTCAAAATATATGAGTTTCGGTAAGGCTATATAAAGGTCAGGGATATTCAACGTATTGAAAAGAGGTAATTCCATTATGTAAATTGTTACAAGTGTAAATATGTTGTTTATAACCTAATTTTCCCGAATTCTTCCAAAATGTGACCGACTTAATTATTGACATGGAGTCCTCCGCTAATGCGAATTATTGCATTTGGTTAACGATTATTTGGTTTTCAGTGAGGAAGTAGCTATTTGGTATTCAGTACTACCAGTAAGCAGCTAATCGTCAGCCTTTAAAATAACAATTTGCCTTGTTTTATCTAAATTTTTGGACATTAGGCCAGAAGATGGAAATCTTGTGATACCATGTCCTCTGATACCCAAGGTGGTCTAGTTATTTCGCATGTTTTCTGAAATATCATTAATTTTGTGTTGTACTTTTGTACCATGTTTTCTATGAACCTACAAATTACTTTCCCATGGTTTATCGGAATGGAGATATACGGTTAATTGCCGTACGCTTGTCTTTAAAGCTCTCGAGAATACCGTCATTCTCTTAAGTATTTATCAACGTAAAGATTCTTCTTTGCGTACGTCAACTATTTCAAGCATTACTATCTTATTTCATAGCCTAGGAGTATGCTGTAACTTGTAATTAGAAGCTTTTGACTCCCATTTGGTCATGTATCGAGGGAAAAAATGCCGATTTTACCGCCTGGAATTGGTCTCTATAATTGTAGAAATCCCAGCGTTTTGGATGCTTGCGACATCGACGAAAAGACCAAAGAGATGCTTCTGCAAGATATCCGTCATCGATTGATGCCCCAGGCCGTGAAGCTGCGTGCAGACTTTGAAGTTTCGTGTTTCGCTTACGAAGGCATCGATGCCGTACGCCGTGCACTGCATGCCGGTTTAGCACTCAGCACAGAAGATCTGCCAATTAAGGTACATTCCTATTGAAGACATCCCTAGTTGTTCGCTACAAGCTTGGCGTGTACTTTGTTTTTTTTGTTAATCTCTTCCATCCCATGGACTATTTCTTCAGTTTGCTTTGTGCGCTTAATTTGTGCTACATTTGGGTCATTAGTCTCAAATTATCGCTTCAGTAATATTAATGTTCCTACTTATAAGTGTCCTTCAAAAGTCTTGTAGTTGAATTGCTATAGGACATCCCATTTGCTTGTTGCGTCCTTTTTCGTTATCGATTTTCAACCGGGTCTCATAAAATTAACAAAATCAATTAAAAAATGAACATTTTTATCTTCACGCATTCCGTACCTCGCTTACTATTTACATGCTAGTTATCCTGACAATGCAGTTATGGTTTCTCGACTGAATTTCACAAACTGCAAGTTAACACAACTAAGTGCTGCGTTGTCCGTTTCGCAAACACATTTCAGATCAACCTAATTGCACCGCCTCTGTACGTGCTCACTACCCAAACACTCGAATGGAATAAAGGCCTAGCTCGCTTGGAGCAGGTCTTGGAGACGATCAAGGCCTCAATCGAGGAGCAGGAAGGATCATTCAAACTCCAACAAAAGGTCAGTTGAAATGGAGTTGTAACTTACGGCGCACATAACTTGGCACCTTTAGGTACTTTTGTAGCGAAATCCTCGTGCATGTGGCAGGTATGATGTCACATCGGTTAAACCAGGCATGTTGCAGCTAGCTGTTTATCGTGCAGTAAGATTAGCTAATGGTGATATACACACCTAACATACTTGGTTCGTATCTGCTTCATTTTTCGTGGTGTTTTAAGCGTGTTCTCGATGTATGCCACTTGTAGTGGTAGACTTGGACACTGAAAATGTCGTCGGATTTCAATAGCGTGTCGACAACAGAAAACTGTTAAATGATCGGGAGTTCACGCGTGCACATGAAGCTTAACGGCAGTGTTTACTAAAACTGTTGCTCACTTTCTTAAATCTTTATCGACTATATGCATTCTCATCTTTCCAACCTCTGATATCATTGGTCTCGTTATTGTTATTTGGCAATGTCTAATTGTCAACTAGTAATTTATATCTTTCAATGCAGCCCCGTGTTGTGTCAGATACAGAGGAGGCAGATTTCCAACGTCACTTGGAAGAACTGGAGGACGCAAATAAGGAGGTCTCTGGAGACGATGATGATGACGAGGATGTGGACGAAGACGACGATTCCGGGAGTGAAGGGAGCTCAAGATAGTTGGCAGGGAACAATCTCCATCAAGATTCAAGTCACCTTACGTGGTGTACCTGTTTTCTGCTTGTGTAAAGGATCATGCTGCAAAGTGAATCTCGTGTAATCGCCTCTTAGACCGGGTCGGGTCTCACATAATTCCGATCGGTGTAAATTCGAGGGGAGACCAGTAGTTGAACCGCCTCAGTCCATCTCACTGGGTAGGACGGTCCTTTATGGACTACTGCGGCTGTAGATTTGCCGCTAGTCTACCATGAACAGTTCGGCAAACTAGTGCTCCAGTTAAAGCAGTTTGGAACCTTGTTGGGTACGTATTAGATCGAGCTGGTTGCCACATTTACCCGAATTGATTTCTCAGGGAAAGCTGAAATCGCCCGCTCCGGAAACACAAACACTCGATGAACTCCACGTCTTGGGCAACCTCGTCCGCTCGAACCTCGACTTGACTCTCGATCGCTACGGCACTAGCAAGCAAAATCCGTAGGGCTGAACTACTGAACGTAGTTGTATGAGGACCTAAACTGGAACCCAAGCGCCCATCCCTGATATCTCATTGGTCGCTCGCCGATATTCTATAGAACCCTAGTCGTGACCATTCTCCACGCAGGATTGCTCACTTAGTTCGTATTCACCGTATTTCATGTCACTGTGACCGAAAAAGCCAGGGTCTGATATTCCACGCTTCAAAAAGGCAACAAAATTTACTGGATGTTGATTTCTTGATACAGTTCAGCTAAAAAATAGCCAAATGAGGGTAAAAATGCTTGTTTTTAGAAATGCAAAAGCTGAGGATTTGTGACACGAGTTAGGATCTGAGATAAATGCAGACATAGCCAGGTAGTGCGTGCAGCGGGTGTTATTTGCGCTTCTTTGGATTTGGTTTCTTTGCGGGAGTTATGGAGGGTCTCTTGAGGTTTGCTTCCTTTTTCTGAAGACAAGCAAAAACAGGAATAAAGTTGGTGGTTGCACGAAAAAAACGGCTTCTATTCAATTCCTAGCTGGTGATGATGCCATAGAACAGTTTTAAGATGCTTTTAGGTGCCGACAACCGCAGTTAGGGCATCCGAGAACGAATGAAGTACACACCGAGATTTCTGCTTCCAAAGGTCTATCTTCAGAAGCTTAAATGCTAGTGACCAGCCTGATAGGTGACTAAGGTCTTGCTCTGGGAGCGGCAAAAGTGTCGCCACGTCGAAGCGCACGATTCACCAGTGTGAGATAAATTGGCGCTACATCTGTTCTAATCGCACAAGGTGGTTAAATACCACGCATGATTTCCTCATCCTTAGCTTTCGAGTCCTGCATTACGCATGATGCCGATTTACATTTGGAGTGTGGCAAAATCCGAAAGATCACCTGTTTGAATGCAACGCGTAATACCTAATAAATTCTCAAATTATCTTTTCGAATAAGCGTAGCGACTCCAGAGTGATGAATGATCAGTTCAATGAAAATTCACATGGGTCGTCAACCTATAACGACGCCACATATTGTAAAGAAAACTAAATTATCAATTTCTGATCCAATGAACAAAATGAAATGCATGTATTCCAATCCGAAAGTATTACCTGACCAGCCGATGGAGCGGGGGTGATTGTGAAAAAGTTGTCGATACGACCCTGTGTCGCACCAGCTCGTGACTTCTGCATTTTTTTAACCGCACTTCTGATTCTTTCCTCACTAAAAATACAAGGCAGCAGCAAATCTCCAGTGACCATGTTACATCCATACAGTCGCCAAATAGCAAAAAAAGAACAAGACTCACTTGAAGCCATTTTTGATGCACATAAACTCAACTATGCCCTCTTCGTCCGGCCCCGTCCATTTTAGCTAAAAGTAATGGTAATACTTTACACTTAATACTGTCAACGCCATTTAATGTAAACATCATTAGCCAAATTAACGATAAAATCATTGCCATATATTATTGATTGGGGATGTAGTAAAATTGATCAAACAGCAGTAAGCCGTTTTGAGAGCATTCCTGGTAACTGTTCACTTACAAACTGCAAAAGATGTCTAAGTACCTGACACGCATTTTCCACATATTGATCAATATGCAGCAAAGTTAAAACTAACATCGATGGTATCAGGATCAAGGGTATCCGGCTGCATAAAAAGGCGGGCGGCGTCTTTGTAAATCCATCCCTCGGGGGGTTGGTACTTCTTCTTATCTATGTGCTCGAGAGTTGCTTCAATCGACTTGTAACGCTGAATGAGCTCAACCGACTTCTTCGGTCCGATGCCTTTGATGGTATCGCAGTAGTCACAGCCAAGCATGATACAGAGGTCGACGAACTGCTCCATCGTGAAGTCCAAGGAGCTCAGTATGGACCGGAGGTTGAACTCCTGAATGGGCATCTTACTACCGGTAAACGCACAAACAAAACAGAATAGTGGATTTTGGCTGCACATAAATAGATTTCATTCTACTTGCATTATCAACGGCCTTAAATACTGAATCTTGGGGCAACGCGGCAGGTGGACCTCAAGCAGTTCAATATCAACATCTGCTCACTAATGTGTTGATGGGAAAACAGCGGAAATAACGGAGATAAATGGCAATCTATCCAATTAGAGGTTGAATATAAGTGAATCAAATTTGATACACTACCCAAATGGAGAATATAAGCTTGATCAGAAAAGAAAAATCAAACATGATGTGAAAAAAATAAAAATATGCTACTTCAAGTCTTGTTGTGTCAAAATTTTAATAAAATATAACCAGCAAAAGTGGTACGACACCTTACGGACACGGGAGCGTCAAAATCAATTAAATTAAACTAGAGGAACAAGATTCATACCGGGCTTCGCTGAACGTGAGGTGGCGAAGTAAAACTGGGGCACCAAAAGCCAAAGCATCCATATCCTCCGTGCCAACCGCATACACCTTGCCAGCTTTGGCTAATACTGCGCATTGGGCCTCAGCCTCACCGGGAGCCTAAATAACAACACGAAATGATTACATATGCATAAAAAAATTGCCAAAAATATGGCATTAGCGAACTAACAAGACCAAAGGAAAATTTAACAAACTATGAATTTCCAGTATAGGCAAGTCAAATATTTAAAGTACCGGCGCTTGCTCTGCAATTACAATAGTGCTAAACAGAAATAATTTGCTGAAAATGTGATTGTAATGAAAAAAGATGGATATGTCCAGAATGTGGCCACTCAGTATTTAGGTAATAAAATAGAGATGTATTGAATCCATGGACACGATCCCAGCTTAAGCAAATACACGCCAAACATCAGACTGAGAATGCATGAATATTGACAAAAATTAATGTAAGGCATCGAAAATATAAATGGAGAATTACCTCAACAACAGGGATGCCCATTAGTCGAAGAAGCGTTTTACAATCTTCATTATGCTGTGGCGTAACTTTCACCAATCGTCTTGAAAATTTATCGACTGCCTCGGCATCTCCATCTTCCTCTGCTTTGCTTAATTCCTTTGCAGTTTCTTCTCGTCTCTCAGACCGTTTGGCCAATACACCAGACTTCAGCTCTGGAGGTTTGCCTTCGAACACATAAACAGGCTTGAGGCCATTTTCAAGCATACGGATAGTCCGGTAAAATATTCCCATGAGGTGGCTTTAATAGAAAAACTCGAATGAGAGGAAACGGAAGCATTCGATCTACAAATACTTACATGGAAATCGCTTAAAGTGAACCGTGCATATCATAGGTATTTCAACTTAATGATGGCCTGCTTACCTAGTGGGCTCTCCAGACTCGTTAGTCAAATTGTTTCCTTCACTGCGAACAGCAACAAGGAATTGGTACAGAGACATGGATGCATCAATAGCGACTTTTCGACCAAAATATGACTTAATTTCGCAATTTTTTAAGGCCTTAGGAGCATGATCTCCAACAACTTTACTCAGCTGGCGAATCCCCATTCTCAGAGCGCGCTTTTTCAACTCAAAATCGAGTATAATATTTCACTACATATAAACGCTAAAGTGTAAATCTGAAAATACAGAATGTAGTACAGTAAAAAACTGCTAGAAGGACATTCAAAAATTATGGTATAATAATAACGGAATGCCTGATAAGATATTGATTTAATCGGACGGTGACCAGTCACGCAGGGATAATTGTTCCCAGCACCAAAATAGAACAAAATCGCTGTGACTATTACATCTGAAATTTAGCAGAAACTTCATATGCCAGCATTACTGTCTTGGATTAGCGACTTGAGATTACTTTGATCAAAATTCTGCAAGAATTATGTTTCTGTGACTACTGATACTCTCAGTGTTCATTGTGATTT